TGTGGGCTTAATATGCGGCTGGGCTTATTAGCCGTGGGCTTAATAGCCGGCGGCTACTGTAATGCACAATCTCAAGCCAAGAGTTATTCTTAAAAACAATGCTACTGACAGTTTGTGAATACTAATTTAAAAGTCACAGTTTTAAGCGTGTGTGTACTAATTTACATACATGACGCACCGGCATAGGATATTCAAAGGCATTGCTATTACCTTTGCCAAATAAACAGAAAAGCTATATTTTATTTGAAAACTTTAACTATATTAACGAAAAGTGGGGAATATTGGCTACTAAAAGCAGACCACTCTTTTGTCCGACAATTTCACTCAACACAACTTCAATGAATCTAACGCGACAGGGTGCTTAAAGCCGAGCTCGGGGTTCCAGTAATTTGTAGAGGCTCTATGCTAGCTACAGTACGAATAGAAGATAATATTGCTTTGTTAAACACAGGGAGTCTTTGTTCCTTGGGGAATACTCACTATGTATTGCATGATTTTGCCTTTTAAGCTCCAAGAATATGTTCCAGATTCGAAAATCCAAGAATGACAGTGCAAAAGAAAAACACTTAGAGTGCAAACTTATTTGCACCAGCAGGCATAAGGTGATGCCGAAAACGATTGGAAATTGAATAAAAATAAGCGCACGCATCGCCATAACCAAAATGCGTGCACGTTTCCTAGAGGCATTAAGCATGACACCAAATGACTGGTGTACGAGCCGCAGAGACTATGCCATTAAATCAAATTAGTTAATAAATAAAGAGGACACTGCAAAGCAAATACTCAAGGAAAGACACATCACTCAGTCTCGAAACTATAAGCCATTAGCCGAAGGGACAGACAAAATTTCATAAAACGAGGCAATCTTATGGGACTTCTGACCCTCAGAGACTGCCAAAAACGCCTGGAAGTAAAAGTAACTTGATGCAACAGTCTACAAATTAAATAGTTCGGTAAAAGGTAAGCATTCGCTAAAACATAAAAGGGTCAGCCCCGAAGGTTATGGGCACTAAATCGCAACAACATCCATCCCTTTGTAAAAAAATTAAGGGGAAAAGCCCTGATTGTCGCATAGTCTTCAGACAAGTTTTCCCTAGGCCGATTGACAAAAGTTTACCTTCGTGGGTTACTGCTGCGTCGGCGTACCAATCCGCGAGCCTTATTGGGCCAGTTCTGCTGTGCTTCGTTATGCTGGGTCTGACGCCTTTTCAGCTCCTCCTTCAACAGCACCAAGCGCTCCCGCATCTTGTCGTCTTCACAGATTTCGAAAACGGTCTCGCCACAGGCCGTCGGTGAGTCGAGATTGGCCCCGAAACTTGTCAGAATTTCGATTATTTCAAACTTTAACGGCAAAAGAAGAGGACAGAGTTCAGAATGAAAAATAACAATGTGTTGTTATTGGATGTGAATAAAGTGACGTAAACAGGAAGCTACAGAAGAAAAAGATAGGGTAGTGATGAAAGTAAGAATGTGTTTTGACAGATTTGGCTATTTCGTTTGACGCAATTGCGGATTCTGGAGTGATTGCTCAGGATATTTTAGCCCGGACAGTCAGCCTGTTGTATCACAATTGGTGGATTCCATGTGTTACGGTAAGTTGGACGGGTAACTTGACACAAATGTGATGAGGCTCACGGCTTCCAATCGGAAGGTTTTAGTTCGGGTGTTTACAGCGTTGGCTGCACTGAAGTCTTCGCCCTGCTGTCGTAGCTTCGAATCCCACCGAGACTACCGAGTTTTGCACAATTGAGTCAAACAAAAATTAAATAAACACTCGTTTATAAGACGTTCACCTGACCGCTAAAGGAACTCATTTGTCTCGCTCGGTCTGGGGTCTCGACAGAGGCCCTGACAAACGCATCAGCTGATAGTATTAGGCACATGGTACTGCCGACCAAGACAAGGGAGACTGAAATGGCCATTTCTTGCTTATTAGCCATCGTCAGCCAGTCATACCCAGACCACTTAAGCCTCGAGCTCGCGACCTTTTGATCAGAGTCAAACGCTCTACCTATTGAGCCACAAGCTCGTTGTCCCGCCGGTTTTAGATCAGGGGATATTGAATAAACACTTGCAAATGGCAAGCGACAGAACAAGGAGAAAAAATGAAGTTAAACAAGAAATAGAAGAGAGCTTTCATAAAACAACGCCTCCACAAGAAAGGTAAACCCCAGAGGATAGAAAATAATTGTCCGTAAAGTAAATAAATAAGTCTCCAACTTTAGAAAAAGGGAGCAGTGTAAGGTACTTAACGCCAAAGGCGTTTGAAGTTCTAAAGCATGCCACATTTCTGACTGGATTTCCGACAGAGGACAGTGCTAAAAGAGATGATGTGAGTTTGTTCGAAAAACTGGTGCACCAAAGGCGATCGTAGAGGGAAGGTGAAACTGTCTGCCAGTAGATGTTTATTGCACTTAAGCTAGCAGCCAATAAACTTAAAATGGAAAAGGGTACAGGATGCATCAAGAATACGCAGTCACTTCTCCTGGAAGGGCTGAGTAACCAGAGAGTCCCACTGGCGTTTTTTTGGCTAGCGTGAGTATTTTCTCAACAGAGCGATGGGACATGAGATGGGACATGGCCTTAAAAACCTCCCGGTTTCAGTGGCGTGGTTAAACATTACAAATCACTTCACCTCGCTTGACACCGCAAGGCAGTGCCAAAGAGAGACACACTATCCAGTCATCGAGTTGATCATAAAGACAGGAGTGTGGCGCAAGGGATTCTGAAAAATTGTCTGCGGTTAGGTCTAAATGAAAACCCCTAATCAGTAGACCGGAGTAAGGCCAAATCTACCAGTAGATGGCGGGTGCTTAGACTGTCGCAGTCCACGCACGACCGTTTACAAAAAGCCTGCCGATGTAACTCCCAACGTTTACGCTTCCTGACCCACACAAGGCTTACTTCCTCGTTTTGTCACATCAGATAGGAGGCGAAGTAGACGAAGAAATCAACGGGAAGGAAAGGCTGTCATGCTTGTTGCTTCTGATCCACGCGAGTGATTTATCGCGGCGTTGAAAAGAAAGCCATAAGAGAATGCCAGTCACGAGTGGATAGGCCACACCGCCCAACAGTGTGAGTAGCAGCGTTATAATTAGATTCAGAAGGTTCAGCCCAAGTTGTACAAGATAACGTTCTGACTACTGCTACAGCGCCGTCGCAAATCCGCTTAGACAACCACAGAGCCCTTGTCCCCCCTCCCCCCCAACACACTAAACTGGGAACACAGAAGACCGTGACTTTCTTGGTGGATGAAAGTCAGGAAATTTTGACAGAAAAACCTGCACGGAAGTCTAATACGCACCGGCGCCACTGTAACTCGATTTGTTATGCATCAGCATGTGCATAATTTGTGACAGTTGGGTGAGCGCTGGGTGACCGCAAAGCTCATTTCAGACAATTGCCAAGAAGGAAGAAGAGAGAGAGCTATTTTCAGCACCAGAAACCCTTCCAAACGGAAGGCACGTGCTGTAGCCAAGACAACCATTCGCGAGGGGGACATGAGTACTTACTTGTACTTGTACTTGTAACGGCATTCACCTCGGGCGGGTTGAG